AAAGTTAATTGTTTCTTTTTTTTTTTTTTTTTTCCTTTTGCTTATTATTGTTTTTTATTTTAGCAATTAGTTAAATAATAATTTGATATGAAACAAATATCAAAAACAAAAATTGAAAGTAAACTATCTCTTTGTCATTTTTTTTTTTTATTTAACGGAATAAAAATCTATTGGAAATGGAAATGAAAAATAGAAAACACTTATTTTTAATTAATTGTATTTCCGCTTATATTTCATTTTAGGATAATTGAAGATGAATTATACAATTTTAGCATATTGTATATTTCAAAAATTTTACTTTCTTTGCTTAGAAAAATTTTACTTTCTTTATTGTATTTCTTTACTGTATTTTATATTAATAGTGGTACTTAATTTTTGTTTGGTATCATTCAAAATTACTTTATTACAACTTAACATTGCAATTTCACTTTCATTATGAGTTATATTTTAGTTTATGAAAAAAAAATTTCCTTTTTAAAAAAAAGAAAAATTATGCAGACCTTAGCTGGTATTGGTGCTGATGTATTTGGTGATGATAAGCAACTAGCTGGTGATGGTGGTGGTGTCAACCCAGTAATACCACCAAAAGCACCAGCAGAAGGTGGAATAGTTGGTACACATGATCCAAACTATCAGGTAAACAAAAATTTTTCTAATCTTGAATTCCATAAAGTAAATAATTGATCCTATCGGATTATTTTAAAATACGAAGATAAGGTGGATCAATGACCAGACATAAATTGCAATTTTTGTTCCAATTTTTTTGCATTCCAAATTTTTTGTCAACAAACCCATGATTCATATCACTTATGCACTGTTGAATTAGAAAATTTTTTCGACTGATCAATATGATCAGTAACTGATCAGTGATCCATAACCGATCAAATATATCGCTCTATTTTTCTTTTCTTTTTTTTGAAAATATTTCAATATGCATTTTATGAATTTTAAAATAAATATTTTACAAAATTAGACGTTGGCCGCTGTAGCCGGCGATATATTTGGAGCGGATAAAGCAGGTGGTGGTGGTGGTGGTGGTGGTGGTGGTAGAAATGTGATCAAACCTGCGAATCAGGGTGCTGTAGCTGGTACATTTGATCCAAATTATCAAGTAATTAATATTAATTTCTAAAAGCGAGAGAAACAAATTGAAATTTCTGAATATTTACAATTAGAAGTTCTAAAAGAAAAATAGATTTTGCAACAAATTTTGAAGAAATTTTTCGAAATTTCAAGAACTTTGAAATATCCTCAATTGTACTAATCGAGAAATTTCATTTTCAGACATTAGCTGCTGTTGGTGGTGATATTTTTGGTGCAGATAAAAAACGTGAACCACTTGCACCTGTTCGTCCTCCTGCTACACCAGCAGGAAAAGTATGCAAAAAAAAAAATATTAAATTTTTAATTTAAAAATTAGACTAATTAATTGATCAACTTCCATTTTGCTAAAAGATAATTAATTAATTACTGCGAAATTTGGAAGAATGAATTGTAATAGTATTATGTTTTTTTCTTTTTTTTTGATCTTATCATTCAATCATAATTTAAAAAACATGAAGAAAAAGGAACAAGATGGGAGAATGCAATAAAAGAAAGAATTGAATCCTTAAGAGAAATTTTTTTCTTTACTTTTTAGAAACAATTAAATCAATGAAAAGTTCCTTATGCACAACTTTTATATGCTGATCTCTATCATATTTTTATATAATTAACAATTTGAAATGAATTTAATTTGAAATGAATTACAAATTATGTATGTATAGGCTGATACGTTTGATCCGAATTATCAAACATTAGCTGCTGTAAATCCAAATATCTTTGGTGCCGATAAAAAACAGGATGCGAAAGGAAATATTAAAGTACCTGAACAGTGGAATAAAAAAGTCAATTTTTATTTACTATTATTATATTTTTGTTTTTTGTTTTATCAAATCAGATCTTGCTTAGCTTATATTCAATAAAAAATGATGATAAAGAAAATGAAACCACGAGATGATAAGCATCCAGTAATTGATATCCACTTAATTATCTGATAAAAAAAAAATCACAATATATCAGATAGGATGGGATAGGATGCTATAGTAGTTAGTACGATATCCTATTCCATTTGATGATACCGTACTACCAGATAGGATACAATATGTTTATAGTTTTTGAGTTTTACTATCTGCTAAAAATATTATAGCAATCAAAATAGATGGAATACTCTAATAATTCTCCTTTCAAAAAAGAAAAAAAAAAGGATAAATCGATTTCTATTATAGGCTGAAACATTTGATCCAAATTATCAAACATTAGCAGCTGTAAATCAAGATATCTTTGGTGCTGATAAGAAGAAATAGTGATAAACAATTGTAATTAATATTGATATGATATATAACATGAATTCTAAATATTCCTAATCATTAGAACACTTTTTCTTTTCTTTCTCAAACGGAGCGTTAATTTAATTTGTTTTCAAATAAAACAATATGAAGTGGGAAATTTTATGTACGACAAAATTACACGACAGAATTTTGATATGATAAATTAAAATTATCATTGCTGGAAAATGATATTAACAGATCATACAATTTTCAATATGTTGGATATAATAACTTCATAATGTGGAATTGAGTAATTGAACTAACTGATTAAATTGATATCTCTTAATCTATTGCTACTATCTTTATGCAGCTGTATAAATTATTTCCATTTATCATGGTGATAATTTAATGGTAGTACTAACTTTTAATTATTTGTATAAGATTTGAATCTAAAAATGATTTAAATGAAATTCTGTGAAATATTTATCGGAACATTTAAAAATAATCATTGCAATATTTATTCAAATATTTGCATTATCTGTTTGAATGAATTTGTATTTAATATTATCTAAAATAATTATCAAAAACAAATATTGAAGTCATTTAAAACAATATGCAAAATATATATGGCGGAATAATGAATGCAGCAGAAGTAACAGATTATTTCATTGCAATTTTTGCAACATTTACTTTACTACCATTGTCATCCCAACTGTCTAGCACTATTAGATCAAATATTTTCCATACGTAATAAATGATACATTTATCACGAATGATATCGTCACAATTAATTGATTTTTTTCTTCTCCAAAACGTAAAAGGAAATTAATATTTCATCCATTTCAGAAATTTCAAGAGGAAATGACAATTTGTACCATTATTGCTACCTTCATCAATTTATTCGAAATAAATGCAAAAAAAAAGTAAAAAGAAGAGAAATTTTTTACGAGATATATTAAGAGTTCCCTGGTTGCGGGAAAAAAAAACAGAAGAGAAAATATTAACGCAATGTAGAAAGTACTTCAATCATGTCTCTTTTTCTATGAATACTTTACTTTTTTTGGAATTAATTACCTAAAACCACTACTTCCTTTTTTCAGTATATTACAAGTTGATAGTTGGTAGCGAAAGTACGGTACATCGGTTCTTTTTTTTTCTTTTTGTTCATTAAGATTAGTCAATAGTGATTTCTTAACAAATAAAATATAATCATACATCGTTGTGTAGACTTATGATTGAAGTGTAATTCTCGAGATTTAAATGTTGAATGCATCGGAAACTTAATGTCAGTGCTACTTCATTGTAGGCCATATCATAATAAGATGGAAAAATAATTAAAATTTCGATTTAAAAACACATATATCGATGCTCAAAGCAAACGACCCACTAAGCATGAGATCTTGCATAAAGGGACCTTTAAAGAGAGCTTAACAACTAGGCTTTATTTAAGTAATTAATTAAATGTCTAAGTATTATTGAACATTAACGACAGAAACTTATTATTCCTCAAAAAAATCAAGCAACGGTGTATTGAATATATTCAATTATTACGTAAATCCTTAAATCCATTAAACATAAAAGATTTATGCAATGAAAATGCTATGGAAGATTTTGAGATTCTTAAAGGCATGCATACTATTCCAATAATATTGTAACATTAGCGAAAAAATTACAGAATAAAGTTCAATTAATCATTATTAGTCCAGTTATACTCATTTACCCAAAACAAATTGTAAAAACCTTCTCGCAATATCATTTATGGTTTTATGGTTGCATAAAATAAAAAAAAAGGAAAAGAATAGAAAAAAAAACAAATTAGAAATAATTTCTCTTCCCTCCACAAATGTTGGTTACAATTTTATTAAATTTTTAAATCTAAAATTTCTTTAAAAGGATTTTCTTTAAAAGGAATTTTTCACTATCACTATTTTTATCCGCTATTCACTTATGAAAATCTCGAGGGCAATAGCTAGTAAAGTAGAGTTTCTTCATACTACGGTGTTGATAACAGTAATAGTACCCTTTAACATTCCTAAATTTAATCAGCTGGTCAATTAGTATAATACGTCCAATATATTCGCAAAGTAAGGGTGCTATTTTGATGCTTATATTATCATGGTGGGAAAGAAATATTTACAGAATACGCGGATAAAGAACAAAAAAAACGTTAAAATTTTTCTGGCGAATATCCAAGAAAAGTCGTGTAGGATTTCAACTTTGGAAAAAATAAAGTCTTAAAAAATTAAAACGAGATCTATGAAACTGTTCAAACCACGAACGCCAGGTTCGCCATGTAAATACCGGAAAGAAATTTCACTGTCATAAAAGTCCAAAGTTGAGCACCAGGACAGAATCCTCCTTCGAAGTCTGCAGAATTTCAAAATCTTTGGTTTAGAGAAATATTCATTCACTAGAAAAATTCTAAAATGATTTCATCTCAATTAACAAAGAATCCTAATACGTCACAGTTTGAAATTTCAAACAATTAACGAAAATACTAGTTATTTTTCTGCTTCCTTGCATGTTCTCTTTCTTCTTTCGTACTAAAAAATGCTTTCCTATCTGCTGGTTCGATATTATTTTCAATTGCAAATTGCACCAATGGACGTTTCATCGCGTAGGCATCCTCACCATCAGCGTAATATTTCGGCTCCACATCAGAAATTTCAAATTTTAACGTGTTCTGCAAAAAAAAGTTTCATCAGTCTGCATAGCCTTGCCTCCTCTTGTTTAATATTGTATAATAAAACGAATTTCTTGTTTTGCTTTTTCCTTTTTTTAAAGGCGACTTTTCATTAAGATTCTTATATTTTCTCACCAATTTCCTTCTTTCTCTCTCTACGACGTTTATAAGAGATGAAATCCATTACCTTAGAGTATATCATATCACATGTTATCATACCATAACATAATATTACCACATTATATCACGCATCATAATATTATATATCATTTGTTATAAAGCAGCAACCACTGACAGTTATTAGTTCGGAATTTACTAATGGTTTTTACGTATTTGGATACAATAATACATTACATATAACTCCCGAATTTCATTTTTAGCTGATTTAAATTGTTGGATACTAAGAGATGTAAACTGTCAAAATAACAAACCTGATAAAGATTCAGTGCAGCTCTATTTGACACACGTACGTGAAGCGACACATAACGAGCATTAAATGTTTCAATCATTGCACGAGCCGTTTGATCCATCAACTTTTGAGCAAGACCGAGACGGCGATATGAACGCTTGACAGCCAGTGAGGTGATATGACCGTGCGGTTCATCATCTGCTTCTTCCTCCATTTTTGCCAACACATATCCGACAATGTTACCCTAAATTGAGTGAATGATTTCAAAACAAAATATGTACTAACTAATTGAAATGTAACTTCCGAAATTATCAAACACTTTTCGTATTACAATTTGACTCTGCAGTAAAAACACTGAGAATGAAGTGAACATTTCACAGCAAATCTTTAAAAAACTTCAAATTCCCAAGTTCAAAAATTGTGTTTGCATTTATCCCCCATCTTTTGACCGATACAAATGATACATCCCTCAGTTTTTGCGCACCAAATACCAATCTGTCTGCGCTTTTATTTTTGAGAAATTTTTTCAAATATTAATTACTAATTCACAAGATTAAGTATACTTGCACCTAGCAGTTACACCAACAATTTGACAAATTTATTATAAACCACAAATGCGTTACTTCCTGAAATGTGGAAATTTAGATTTTCCGTCCTATCACTATCACCATATTATCTTATTACTGTCCTTCGTAATATACAATGTATGGAGTCAAGATGAAAGACACCAGGAATCCCTTTGATATGATATCAGTAAATTTTCCATATATTAACATAACAAATAACTGAAGATTTCCATATCTGTCTTTATCGATTGTCCACAACTAATAACATTATCTTTACTTCTCTTACCTTATCATCTTCGGCAACATATGATAACTGTGGCCATGATAAGGCATGATAAAAGTAATACTTCATTTGGTAATTTTCCGGTAAACATAACAAATTGCAATGTTGCGTATTCAACAAATCATCCGCCTTTGCTACACGCAGATTCATTCTTTCATCAATCCTGAAATTATCACTACTATCAAGCTATTCCAATTTTGAAATTAACCTGATTATTTATACTTCATTATCTGCATTTGTGCTGTCTATTACTACGTCACATACATTCCATTACCTCTATTTATCTCCCTATACTCATACAGTACGATCCGTACTACCAGTTATTTTTCTACTCCTGAAATAAACCGGAAATGAACCGGCACAAGTCCATAACCAAAAATACGGATAACCGCATACCAACCACAACCACAACTTGAAATCAGAAAATGTTCACAGAGTAGCCTAATTATTTTACGGTCCTAATGCAAACAACTAATTCCCACTCAAGTTTCAATTTGAATTTGAGTAAAGATGTTAGCATAATAAATTTCAATAAAATGAAATATCACAGGGAAATTTTGTATAAATTTTGTAGAAAGAGCCAAATTTAAATTCAGTAAATTTTAATTCAAAATCATTTCTATCAATATTAGAATGAAATAAGACAAGAAAATAATGGAATGATTTGTATTGATGATAGATTGATTGTTATTAAAGGAATGATGAAATCTAACAAGCAAAGTAAATATACTGTGTAAAACAATAAAGCAAACAACACTTTTAATTGAGGAATAAAATATAGAACGAATAACTTTGCCTAATATTTTTGAAACTTTTACAAAAATGTTGAACATTGAATGAAAATATTACGTGAAAAAATTGTTAGAAAAAAAAATTAAAATTATTCAGGTCATAGCCAGCTTAGAAAAAAAAATTAAAATTATTCAAGTGCTATTTGTTGTTTGATAATTCGCTTAAATTATCAATAAATAAAATTTTTATTTAACATTAAAAGTTACAATTTTCGCACTCACTTTTTAATGAAAATTAATTTTATGAATTTATGCTAAATTCCATAGTTGAAAAATTCTTCTTTTTTTTTTTGTTTTTCATTTCAAAAATTATTATACCTATCTTTTATGAATTTTATTAAAAAGCTCATTGTTGAAATAAATACGATAAAGAAGAAAACTTTGGAAAATTTTGAAAAAAAATGGCGCAAATATACGCAAATATATAAGAAATAATATATATGAAATATAAGAAATATAATATGAAAAAACGAAATATAAAAACATAAAAATAGTAAAATATAAAAATAAAATACAAAAAACGTAAATGTAAAAAAAAAATTAAAAATTACGTGAAATATTACGCATTGTACATATTATTTGAAGAAATTCATTTATAAACCTTTAATTTACAATCATTAATTCTCAAATTGTTTATTACTTTCAGCAAAATTTGAAGTTTATAAATTTAACTCAACTTCGTGAAATTCAAGTGAATAATTAGCTAAATTTCCAAATGTCTTTTTCATTTGTCAAAATTTCTGCTTGCTATAAAAGGAATTTACAATTGAACTGACAATTCATTCAATTTCAATTTATCATTCAAACTTTTAAAGGTTTCATCATTTCTTCATTCATTGCTAATTGACAATTAATTCTGGAATCATTTATTACTCGCATTTATAATTCAAAGATCACAAATAGAACTTTAGCAATTATCTAAATTTCGAATGTCTTTTTTTTTTGTTGAAAATTGTTGAAACTTGATAAAATTCGTTGAGATTTATTGAAATTTGTTGAAATTTCTATATACTACCGGAAAAAAAAAGGAAAGAAAAAAAAAGAAAAACTCATAATTGAATTGAAAATTCATCCAATTCCAATTTAACATTCCAAATTTGACAAATTTTCATCATTTTTTCATTTAAAACAAATTGACAACTAATTAATTCTCGAATTGTTCTATTACTCTCAACAATAATTTCAAGTTCATAAATTTCATTTAACTTCGTAAATTGAATTTGACAAACAATTAAGACTCAAATGTATTTTTCGTTGAAATTTGTTAAAACTTTTACATAGTACAAAAAAAAAAAAGAAAGAAAAGAAAAAGCAAACACAATTAAATTTCAATTTGTCATCTCAAGTTGGCAAAGTTTTTTTTTACTTTTTTCTTTTTCATTCATTACAAATTGAATGATTGCAAATTAATTTGAAATAAAATCATTT